ACTTAAAGGTACTTAAAGTAACACACATAATATAAATCCTAAACTAAATTACCCAAGCTTGATTGGTCTTCAATAAGCTCTACTTGGTAATCTCGCGGATGAAGCTTGAACTTGGATCTTGAACTAGAATTGCATAAGCTTCACCGACATTCCGCTAACCTCCTTTGGATATGATCGTTGGAGCTCTATTCCATCCATCCTCCAACAACGTTGTTTGTCTACAATACATAGGAATACACAAACACTAGACAAACAACATTAGTAGTAAATTGTTTGTAAATCATCATCAAAACAAGAAGGCCAACATCAATCTCTACTAAAAGAGCTTGGTTACTCAAAAATGCCTTCACCCACTCTTTGGTGTGATAACTTAGGGGCTACGTATCTCACGGTAAATCCAATCTTCCATGCTTGCACAAAGCATATCGAAATTGATTACCATTTTGTCCGAGAGCATGTTGCTTCCAAACAACTCAGTGTTCGTTTTATATCTACCAAGGATCAGCTAGCGGACATCTTCACCAAGGGTCTCAGCAGTCAAAGATTTCAGGACTTAAGGAACAAGTTGTCCATCCAAGCTTGGCCATTCAACTTGCAGGGGAGTGTCAAGACTAAGTCTAATGACTAAGTCTAATCTGTCTACAACAACCTAATCTACCTACAACAACATACCAGCAGTATCACAGTATCTAAACTTCCTCCTATAGAATTGTTTGTAATTTTGAATACTTGTGTAACAACTACTAACAAACTGGAATTGTATTCCTTTAGAATAGGATCTGTAACTGTACACAATCAAACTCTATATATGCAAACAATGCATCACCGTTTAAGGTGTGCAAGCCTTCCAAAACTTCACTACATGTCACTGTTTTTAATAAAACGTCGAGAGACTACATCTCACTGTTTTTATACGACAAACCGTTAAAAAAATATCTACATTCTCCTTGAAGTAGATGTTCCAACAGAAGTAAAACAATTTTGCTCATGCAGCATGCCAATTTATTAGACATGAAAAATCTTTTTGTCGATAAAAAGTTGATTGTTTGTTCTCCTCGGTGTACATGGTATCTAGCTAAACAAGTAGTTGAACAAACTTACAAACACCTTAGCAATTTTCTACTTTTTTTTTATTGTTTAATCATTCATCATTAACAAAGAAGAATAATCCGAAACGAGCTACAATAATTGAGTTCAACGGTTCTAGACTAGTGATTGATCGAACATCAAAATCATGCACGCTTAGAATCCGAGTAGGTCGGCAACATGCCATTATTATAAACAACAGACGTAGCTCTTTTATGCTCACAATTAGCTGACGTTTTTTATTCCTTCTATTAGCTTGGAAATAATAAGCATTTGTAATAAATTATCACTGAATGGAGACAGCGACTCATCACTCGCTATCCTATCAGAACAAGAGCTTTGGCCCCAAGAATTTCGGAATGATGAAATCCACCAAAAAAAAAAAAGAAGAAGAAGAAGAACATTATGTCAAATTTTTATTGTAAGAAAGTAGAATGGAAAAAATTTTAGTTTTTTCTACGTTTTTGTGAAAATTTATTGTTGGATATCAAAAGAAAAAAAGTTAGAAATTGCTTTATGGGTCTCTATAAATTAATTGATGAATGACTTTTAGAAAATGCTATTATATATTTTTTTTGTACTACTCTTATACTCAAAAAGTAGTCTCCACTTTGCGTTGAAGATGAATAGCAATCAAATTTCTCAGCATTCATCGTAACTTACGATAGTTACAATGTGTTCCAGTCTAATGAATTATGATTAATAATTTAAAGTGAATTAAAGAGGTACAGTACTTACTAATATTAAGAAGTAAGCTTAGCTTGATGAATTATTAAAAAAAAAAAGAAGAAGTAAGCTCAGCTAAAACAGAAAAGGCAAAAAAAAAGCAACTTTCTTTAGGTCGTATAATGTACTTTTAATTGTAGAGTATCTTTCAGAGTACTGTTTTGATAGGCTGCACCTTTTAATTGGATAGGGAAGAAACTAGGAGGATTCGACTTTGGAGGTAAAGAACAATTTCAAGTAGCACAGTCATTTGCCAATTTAATAAAAAAAATAAACAATTTTTCAAAACAGACCCCTTTAGAGTTATATTTTTTAAAATCGACCGGTTTTTTTTATTTACCAAAACCGACCCGATTTTGTGATTAACAGCCTAATCACCATCCTAAATAGTCGGGGTTGGCAACCCCGACTATTTAGGAGGGTATTAAACTCTGATTAGATGCCTTAAACACAAAAAATTAAGGTCCTAAATAGTCGGGGTTGCCAACCCCGACTATTTAGGAAGGTGATTAGCCGGTTAATCATAAAATCAGGTCGGTTTTGATAAATAAATAAAAAACCGGTCGATTTTGAAAAATAAAACTCTAAATTGGGCTGTTTTGAAATTTTGTTCAAAAAAAATACTTTTTCTAATGGTCGACTAAGGGGGTGTTTGGTTCAATTTCTAGAAATTATAGGAAATGTTTTCCACCTAAAATATGATTTCCTTGTATTTCTTAAAAAAATTATAGGAAAAGTTTTGAGAAATCAAAAAGTACCAATTTTTTTGTTTTTTGTACTTTGCTTGTTTGGTTCAAAACAAGAAAATAGCTCATAACTTTATAGAAAATAACAAGATTTGGTAGGTTTTTAATTAAATATGATATGTGTCAGATTTCTGGTGATTTCCTCTCATTTTGAGAGGAAATTGATTTTTGTAAAATTTGGTAGGTTTTAATATTTTATAGAAAATATTTCTGTAAATTTTTTGTTGAACCAAACACAATTTACAGAAATCTCTGAAAAACTTTTAATTACAAATTTGCCATTGTCAGATATTTTGAGAAAAGTTTTCTCAAAAAGTGTGCAACCAAACAGCCCCTAAGTAGATACCCAAACCTCAACGCAAGCTACGACTATGGACGGCTTTAGTGTTACAAAAATGGAGAAATTAGATAATAAACAGAAGATGAGGATGTTTGCTTATAAATGGGAAATCAAAGAATGGGAAACCTATTTCCTAAAATAATTGTTTTGAGGTTGTTTATTGGTTTAAAAAAGAAGGAAATTATAAAATAGGAGATGAGATGAGATGAGTTGTCACCTTATTATTGGATAATGTGAGTGGTTTTTAAAAAAAAAATTGTTTTGATGTTGTTTGGTTGGTTAAAAAAATAAGGAAATGAATTGGAGGTATATTATTGAATGATGTTTTGAGGTTGTTTGTGTTTGGTTCGTTTTAAAAAATAAGAAAATAGATGAGATGAGATGAGTTGAGGGTATATTATTGGATGATGTGACACATGCTTAAGGAAATCAATTTCTTTTTTTCTTTTTTTTGAGGAAATGGATGGAAATGAAGATTTAATGAGATGAGATGAGTTGTCACAATATTATTGGATGATGTGTGCGATTTTTAAAAATGAGATAAGATGAGATGTGATGAGTTGGATGATGTGACACATTTCTTATGTTTGGTTTATTTTTAAAGGTAAGAAATGAGATGAAATGAGATGAATTGGATGATAAAAATAATATTTTATTGGATGTTATGGGTGAGTTTTAGGGATGAAAATGGATAAAAATATTATTTTATTGATTTCCTTGTACCGATTTCCTTTTCTTTGATTTTAGGAAACCAACCAAACGGGCCCTAATATACACGAGTTTTGGGGTCGGCCATCTATCTGACTTACAATAATGAGAAAATTTCGAATTATATAAATGTATAGATCTATTATTGCAAGATTATTAACCTGAAATTCACGACGTATGAGGATGTTTGGAGAGGCTGTTTTTTTTTTTTAAACTAGCTTTTAATCTAGCTTTTTCATATCTATCAGTACCCCTTGCTCGGCGATCACTCGATGGCTCACTATTTCTATGGGTTTGACAAAACGATTATAACTTACATTATGACTCCAATTTCCATCAAGTCAAACAGCTCTAATCGGCAAGACCAAATATACTCTTTGGTAAATTTTCGCAAACCCTAGTAAAGTTTGCCCTTTATTCCCCCCCGTAAGCCTTTAACGACGCGAGCCCCAAACTTTTAGGGGTTATCTCAAAATAGACCAAACGTTAGGGGGTTTTGTGAAATTTACCATGTACCCTCTCGGTACAAGATCACGAAGAGCTCTTTCATCCATTAAGGGGCTGTTTGGTTCATTTCCAAAAAATTATGGAAATAGATTCCCACATAAGAAACCTATTCTGTAAAAATTTTAGGATATCAAAGGAATCCAAAACTTTTGTTTGACCTATTCTGTAAAAATTTTAGGATATCAAAGGAATCCAAAACTTTTGTTTGATATGGAAGGATAAAATAAGGTTTTAGGAAATGGTATCCAAAACTGTTGTTTGTTTCACCCTAAAAAAATCGGAAAAACATCATGAGAGAAAAGCACCATGAGGAAAAGCATCATGAGAAGCTGAGCTGGCACCATCATTTCCAAAAAATTGCCCATTTCCGAGCTTTTAGACAGGAATTGGCCGTTAAAAAAAACACTTTTTGACAAGGTTTTAGGAAACCATTTCTTAAAAAAAATGAAACAAACGCAGTTTTTGGATTTCTAAAACCACAAAAATGTTACTTTTTGTTCAAAAACCGGGTTTTCCAAAAAAACACCCTCAAACAAACACGCCCTTATCCCATCACGCATCACTCAACTTACAATTTGTATGTTAACGGCCGGCCAAATATTGTAATAGAGCTGGGACTTTCTTAACCTATAATAAAAACCCCTCAAACAACAAGAAACAGACCAACCAACAATTCAACAAACATGCACACAAAAAAACACACAAAAACCAAAAAACGAAAAAAACAAAAAGAGAAAAAAAAAACCCATGACAATTTCAAAGCTGTTCCTTTCGGCAAATGCCCAGTCTTACTTGGTCTTTGCCGTCCTTCATGCATCAACTTGGCATCTATATACTTACCTAGTGTCTAGTGATAACATGAAGCCGGATAGTAGGGGTTTTAGCTGCCTCTTAGCTGGTCTCCTTCCTGCATTTTAGAGCGAGAAGTAGGGGGAGAGAGATCTAGAGAGAGAGATGGCCGGAAATGCTGGAGACCGGCCGCTTACCGAGACACCGACGTGGGCGGTGGCGCTGGTGTGCTTAGTGATGGTGGTCATATCTATGCTCATGGAGCACGGCATTCATAGTCTCGGACACGTGAGAGTTCGATCTACAAGTTTTTTTTTTTTTTGTGTTCGCGTTTTGAGACCTTAATTAAGTTTGTGGTAATTAATGTTTGTGTTGTTGCTTGTTCTTGTTACATGTAGTGGTTTCACAAACGGCATAAGAAGGCTATGAATGAAGCCTTGGAGAAGATCAAAGCAGGTATATATATATGAGAATATGAAGCTATAAGCAATTCTACTTCCCTTTTGCTATGGCCTTTATTTGAGAATGAAATTAGACCTAGGCTGATACGAGTTGTCGTGCGAGCACCTTTGATTGCGGAATTATCAAAGGTGGGTTAAGAAGAAGACAATTCAGTTTTGATGAAGAAAAATACCTTCTAAAACACAAGACAATTCAGTTTTGACGAAGAAAAATACATTCTCTAGATTATGAGTATCAATTGTTTTACAAATCTCTCTCATGATCTCTCTAGAATAGAGAACAATCCTCTCTAATCTCCATTTTCCCCAAATTCTGGTTAGGGAATCCCTAAATAATAGAGTTTTAATTTATACAAACCCTATAAACCAAATCCCAGCAGGAACCTGGAAAAACAGCCCAACCCGTTATAAATCGACTTACGGGTTCTGTAAGTCGACTTATAAACAGTCGAAAACGCGCACAAACATGCAAAGACCCCCTTAAGTCGACTTATGCTTTCATAAGTTGACTCAACATTAACTTTTTGATAACTGGAGTGGGTTTCGTAAGTCGACTCATGCAAACCTCAAGTCGACTTATAAGTCGTCTTATGCAAACCTGAAGTCGACTTATGAACTGAAAACTACACGCTTTGATTTCGCACTCCGTCGTTTCGCTTCACGATTCAACCTGACGCTTTTATTCTCAAGCTACCATGAGAATCGTCTATCCTCAAGCTCCTATGAGGATCGCTAAGCTCCTGAAACAAAGAAGAAGATACACCCGTATCATAGGCTTAGCTTACCACTGTTACCTTTTTTATACCAACTTGGAAGGGGTAGATCAAGGATAAAGGAAAGTCCACGTGGCGTCATCTTGTCAATCCAGGTAAGCTGAGAGGAAACTTCCTCTGCAGCTGAATACCACATATCCCTCTGTTATAGGCTGTGGTAGACTGGTAGTTAGGATGGCAGGAGAGGGCGTGGAGAGAATAATCCTAATGAACGGTCGTGCCTTCACCCGTGGTGTTGGACGAGATGAAGGTGATTGATCCTAAGCTAGGGACAGGCAACCATGCCGCTCGAGGGGATCTTCCAGTCATGCTTATCTTATTCGGCTTCGTGGCCGGATACGGGACGTTGGTTTATCTGATCGTATCCTATAGACTGATTTTGTGACATAACAAAAAATCCATTCCTGAGGTGAAACTGACCTGACACGGGATTTACAAAGCTTGTAAGAATGGAACTACACTACTTTGATCAATGAGCTAACCCATGAAAAAGCCTGCATCTTTTTCTTTTTTTTGGGTGTGTGTATGTTTTGTTGTTGGTGGCGATGCATATTAACTACTCTACAACAATCCACAGATTCCTTTTCAAAATGCATTGGACCCGTTGTTGTCCATCTATAGCTTCTTCGTATAGTGTCACGTTCCTTTTCAACACGAAACTGACACTAACCGGCACTAATCTGAAGTGGCAACCAAAAACATCAAGAAGAACTTGACACCTTAGGAATATCTTTTTCTTACTGCCAGAAGCTTACGCCAAGGTTTCATCTTCATAACATAGTTTGATCTTCTATGCAATTTCAGTGAGTCGTTTAGTTGGAACTTGAAAGCAAGAGAAAATCAATTCTAGCCATGGTCTACATTTAGAAAGCAATGGGAGAAATGGGAACTATGTTAAGAGGAACAAGAGGACAACTTTGGAATATAACAGTGCATTTGACTTGCACATGCTATTTTAATTGGATATTAACAGATTTTTTTAACTGGAGGGGGTTCTGTAATCAAAAGATAACACTGGGGGTTTCATAATAATTGGCCAAACTAGGGGGTTCATCATAATACCCAAAAGAACACAAACATCCTTCACGGTCATCTCTTTTGTTAAACCAAAAACTGCATTTTCCCTTTTCAATTTTTTTTGAGTTAATCTACCTAACAAACTAATTTATGTGACATGCAGAGTTGATGCTTTTGGGTTTCATATCCCTGCTGCTTACTGTTGGACAAGATCAAATTTCCAAAATATGCATCCCTGCTAAAGCAGGGAAAATTATGCTCCCATGCGAGGGTAAACATGATAACGATAATGATAATGATGATGATGACCATGACAACAGGAGAAAATTACTCTCGCTCAATGATGATGGACACTGGCGCCGTGTTCTAGCAGGGACAGTGATTGATCATTGCTCCAAGTATAAAGTAAGGAAAATATCACCCATCTATACAAATAAGCATTATTGTTCGAATTATAATCATACTCATTTTTGTCATATAGTTACATTCTTCAGTTGCAGCTTTCAGCTTAAAATTTGTCCTAGAGCTTTTAGTTTATATATGATCATTTTAATTTATGTTGCTTATATATGAATTTTATTATGGTAAACATGCGCAATTTGCAATCTTTCAACATGTAGAGAGCATCTGTTTGTGATGAGAGATGTCACGAGTCAAAAGAAAGCTCTAACATGTAATAAATGATAAGGAAGAGGTCAGGAGATACCCTACTTATGAACTCAGAGGATGAACATACAAAAATAAACAATAACAAACAAACATAGGTTTGCTAAAAAGCAAGGTATATAGAAATGTTTCGTAACTCTGATCTGTCTCCTAGCAAATTCTTTTGCTTTACGTACCAAAGAGTCCTAATGAGCTTGCGATTATTATTAATCTCAATTTTGTTGATTTTGCAGGATAAAGTACAACTGATCTCACAAACTGGAATACATCAGTTGCATATATTTATCTTTGTACTTGCTGTATTCCATGTTCTGTATAGCGTTCTCACAATGGCTTTAGGAAAAGCAAAAGTAAGCTATCCCATATAATGAAAACTTAGATAAGAAAATGAAATTTTATATACCCAAAATTCAACTGTTTAAAACTCAAGGTCAACAAATTGTTTACTTCTGATTGATAGATGAGGAGATGGAAAGCTTGGGAAGCAGAGACTGCCTCACTAGAATATCAAGTTTCTAATGGTAGGTTTTATTTCGGAAATACATGATAGAAATATTTTATACATTTGCATTTTTGAAATTGTTCTTTCTTTCATTATTGACATTCAGATTTCTTTTTTCGCAGACCCCTCTAGGTTCAGGTTTACTCATCAAACTTCTTTTGTGAGGCGCCACGTGGGCATGTCTAGCACTCCGGGTGTAAGATGGATAGTAAGAGACAATACCTTCTTTTACTCGAATATGCGATACATATATTAACAGTTTATATATTGTTACAATAACTACAACTTCAACGAATAGGTACAAGTGAGATAAAATTGAACAGGAAAATATAAATGCATATCCTTTTTTATAAATGAAACAGAAACTCACATATATGATTTAAAGCCTTCCTCCAGAATTACATGGTTGAATGCTACAAAACTAGCAGCCAACCAACAGAAGGAAAGTAATTATTAACATAGACATACCTGAGCACAATAAATACCAATTTTTAATAGAACAAGGAGTTAAATCCCATAGGATAAAAAAAGTAACATAAAGGTTGCTTGGTTTATGGCAT